GTGTTTTTGAGTTTAATGGATAATTTATGTATATGGTGTGTGTGATTTTAATATAGGCCAATTTCTGAAGGGAATTTGTTGTTATTCTGAGGAGTTCTATGGTTTTGAGTGACTGAAGATGTACATTAAGAAATGCTGCTGGTATTGTATTTCATGAGGTTTTAGTAAGTCCACTTGAAAACAAGACAGTTTTGTTTCTAAGATTATAAATTATCCATGGGAATTTTTCTGTTTCTTTTCTGTATAATATGCAATTTTTAGGCATATGATTTTCTTAACAGTTTAGTATGCGAGCGGCTGATTTCAATTTTTCCTGTTATTTTTTATTGTGTGTAGTTTGTATGCATTTTGACAATTTTGCTGTGAAGTCAACAGTTAGTTCCATAGTGGAGTCAACTTTTATATACAACAAGTAAATCATACTATGTTAATAAAATTATTATTATTTGTTTAAGTAATTACTAATTAGAGAATACAGTATGATTTACTTGTTGTATATAGAAGATTGGTTCCACTATAGAGTCAATTGTTGGCTTCATAGCAAAACTGACATTTTGAATCTTTGATGTGCCAAGATAAAAGGCCATTACGAATACAATAATGCTAAGGAGTCAACTTTTGGCTCCATTATGGAGCCAACAATCAATGAGACAACTCCATGTGACTGTCTCATTGGTTGTTGGCTCCTTAGCATTACTGATTACGAATATTCTCACAACACCAATCTTTTTGTCCTTTGATTGTTTAATTAGCCAGCTTTATTAATGCTAACTAAACAAGTCGATCAACTTGTTTAAGGTAAGCTTGTTAATCAATATTAACGAGTCAAATTCAAGTTTTAACTAGTTGAACCGAATATTTATGTAAGCTCAAATTTGGCTTGTTTGTTAGATAAATCAATCAAGTCCAAACTTTAACGAGTCGAACTTCAGTGTCAATTAAACAAGTTAATTAATTAGTTCAAATTACGTTTGTTAATTAAGATTAACGAACTAAGTCTTAACAAGCTTAGTAAACTAGCTCAACAGTTAACTATTGTTCCTATTAATAAACAGTCGAGCTTATCCAACTGAACTCGAGCTGTTTTCAACTAAGCGCACATCTAAAATAATCGAACATAACTCAAAATTCGGACTTGTGAAACCCCCAAAATCAAAGATGCCGGAGGAGACCACGGCGATTGATTACGTCATGGAGGCGGCCTCCGGCCCCCACTTCTCCGGCCTACGTCTCGACGGCCTTCTCTCCTCCTCTCCGCGCGCTTCTGGCGCCGTAACTCCAACGGCGTTTCCTCCTCCCTTAGCCGACGCCGTCGCGCTCAAGCAGCCTTTCGTGATCGGTAATTTGCTTTCCTTTTTTCTTCAATTGAGGTTAAGCAAGCACTGTTTGTAATTTTCTTATGCTTCGTGTTCCAACTTGGTGGTTTTCGTTATGTGGGTTTAGGGGTTTCGGGAGGGACGGCGTCTGGGAAGACGACGGTTTGTGATATGATCATTCAACAGCTTCACGATCATCGTGTAGTGCTTGTCAATCAGGTTTTGATTGTGCTTCACATTTATGCGTTTTCGTATTTAGGCGTTTTTATTTTATTTTATTTATTTATTATTGTTTTTGAGCAAAATTCTTCAATTATTTTTCCAAATTCACTATTTGAGGTAGCTTGTTTAGAATGGTGAAAAGTCTGTTTTGTTTTCTACTTCAGGATTCTTTTTACCGTGGTCTGACTCCTGAAGAGTTGAAGCATGTGCATGAGTACAATTTTGATCATCCAGGTACGCTAGTTACATATTTCAATGTTGATCTTGCTTGTCTTAATCTGAGTTCTTTCGCCTAGTTTGGAACTAAATGATTTTCTAAATTCTTTTAATTAATTTGAAATTTACATTGCAGATGCCTTTGACACGGAGCAGCTCCTTGAGTGTGTCGAAGAGCTGAGGTGTGGAAAACCAGTTCAAGTTCCAATTTATGATTTCAAATCACATCAGAGGAGTTCGGAAAGCTTCCGCCAGGTACACATCCTCAAGTCAAAATATTGTAAACTTCCTGGATGTAGCGAGCAGATTTTGGTTTGTTTGCTGGTCTGCTTTGATGGGCCATCATATAGATACAGTTGGAAGATAGTATTGTAGAAAATAACAATTTGTTGAACGTGTCTGATCAATTTCCAGTGCGATTGGTTCTGATTTGTTAAAACGCTTTGATATACTATGCCTCCAGGTGAATGCATCTGATGTTATCATACTGGAGGGCATCCTTGTTTTCCATGATCAAAGAGTTCGGAACTTGATGAACATGAAGATTTTTGTTGACACTGGTACTGGTTAACTTGTTTACTATTTCATCTTTTGTGATGACGTATGAATTGAATTTGTTACTAGTTTGATCTTTTGTGGCTCTATATTGGTGAGGCCAGATGCTGATGTGAGGCTTGCTCGTAGAATAAGGCGCGATACTGTTGAGAGGGGTAGGGACATAAACTCAGTCCTTGAACAGGCGAGTCTCTAATTCATTATTGTCTCCTTAGTTAATCATATCATTTATCTATTTTTTAGTTAATCATATCGTTTATTTATTTTTCCTGCCCTGGAATGTCTGAAATTGAATGGCTGAGTTGTCACTAGTTTATCCTGCTTAATACTGCCCTCCCATTCTTCTTCATATGCTTTTTAACCTAGTTGAGCAAACGTTGAACACTCTTCGTGACTCCTTTATGTGATATATTAAACATCTTCTTCATTAATAAAAAAACTAAATACTCTTACTGTAATTCTGTTACTTGGATATACTAAACTAATCCGATTTTCCGTTGTACATGCTTTGATATTTGTATTTTGCAACTTTACTACACGTATTGTTGATGAATATTGTTCTTTGGATACAGTATGCAAAATTTGTGAAGCCTGCTTTTGATGATTTTGTTCTGCCTTCGAAAAAATATGCTGATGTTATTATACCCCGTGGAGGTGACAATCATGTTGCTATTGATTTGATTGTTCAACATATCCACACCAAGCTCGGGCAACATAATCTTTGTAAAATATATCCAAATGTGTATGTTATACAGTCGACCTTCCAGGTATGCTTTCTATTTTATTCTTGTTTTAGGTTTGATGCTAGCTCACTTCAAATTTTGAAATCCTGTTTTCGAGGGGACTATCACATAAGTTTTCTCAATTTCATTGGATACTTATCATTTTATTTGTTTGGTTGAAGGCAAAGAATGCTATTTTATCCTTACACGATCCAGTGACTTCTATTTTACAGATAAGAGGCATGCATACCCTGATTCGAGACCGAGACATTTCAAAACATGATTTTGTATTTTACTCAGATCGGCTTATTCGCCTGGTAATCATGAAACCTCTTAACCCCTTAAGAGTCAACCCAATTACAAAGTCGTGGCAAATATGGAATTTTTTTACTCAATTATATAAAACATTTTCAGGTTGTGGAACATGGTCTTGGCCATTTACCCTTCACTGAGAAGCAAATTGTCACTCCAACTGGTACTATATGTATTCTGATATGAAATGCTCTAAAGCTATTTCGTCTACTTTATATCTGATTTCATGATTGGGTGTTATGTTTGTAGAAATTTATCGATTCATTTCTCTTCAACTCTTTGGGTTCCTGATGCAGACTCATTGTATACTGGTGTTGACTTTTGCAAGAAATTGTGTGGCGTTTCCATTATTCGAAGGTAAGGAGATACTTTCCGGGTGATGTTTAAAAATATCAATTGGCCGAAATGATTTGTCCTTTAGAAGAGGCCTGGTTTGTTAATATATTTATTTGTTGATACCTTACGGTTCAGTTATATAGCAAAGTGAAGATATTTATTGTCTTTCTTCCCAGTGGTGAAAGCATGGAAAATGCACTACGTGCCTGTTGCAAGGGGATCAAAATAGGGAAAATCTTGATCCACCGTGATGGCGACAATGGGCAGCAGGTTTATTTATTTATTTATTTCTCTTTATATTAGGCTTCTCATACTATCTCATGATCTTAATGGCCGGTCACAAAATTTGGTTTCTGTTTTTTCTTACTTCAAAATCTCTGATGACTGTATAGCTTATATATGAAAAGCTTCCCAACGATATCTCTGAACGCCATGTTCTCCTCCTTGACCCTGTTCTTGCAACAGGTAGATAAAATTTATGCCGATACTTCAACATTGATACTTTTTTATTTGTTTATTTCTTTATTTTTTGTTTCAAATATATAATATCGATATTTATGCACTCTAGGTAACTCAGCTAACCAGGCGATTGAGTTACTTATACGAAAAGGAGTACCCGAATCTCACATTATATTCCTAAACCTCATTTCGGTGAGGAGTTAATTTGTGCAATTCCTTAACTGTGTATAGTGACATATTTATATATTGTTTCATTTTCTTACATTTCGCCATCTGTTGATTCGTAGGCACCCGAAGGAATTCATTGTGTTTGCAAACGCTTTCCATCATTGAAAATTGTGACGTCCGAGATTGATGCGGCACTGAATGAAGAATTTCGTGTTATACCGGGTATGGGGGAATTTGGTGATCGTTATTTTGGCACTGACGATTGATCTTTTTTCGGGTTCACGATCAGGCATTTGTTGCTATTAGTTTATCTGCTTTCAAAATGTATAAAGTCTGCTATGGTACAAAGATTGAGAACTTGTAATTCAATGTAATCTTGTGTAGAACAAAAGCCTCATCCAGGTTTTATCAGTATTCAGTACATATTTTCTAGTGTTATTGGCTTGCTTTGTGAGCTTAAAGCTTATGTTATTTCTTTTCATTTATGCGGTTCAATTTGTTGTTTATTACCAAAGGCTATATTGGACCAAGTCAACTGTTCTACTTTTGAACAGAAATACATATCTTACTTTTTTTTTAAACTATGCATATCTATTGATTGTTTTATGCCTTTTTTAAATCAAATTAAGAGAAAGAGAAGTTGGCAACAAATGTTGTACACTCCTTAAAACTCATTTATTCACTGATAAATTAATTTAATTAGTTGTTCGAATTTGGCTTGTTTAAATGAATAAACAAATCAAACTCAATATTTCACGAGCCAAATCTTATGTGTTTGCTAACAACTCGATCAATTAGAATTATAATTCGAATTCGCAAGTGCGTTGTTTTTTCCTTTTCTCTTTTTGGTTTTGTCTAGAAACATATAACAAAGATTAAGAAAAATCATACCCTTATAAAATATAATCATAAATAAGCTAGACCTTTTAAATATATATATTTTTTTATTTTTGAGTTTCAAAATAAACGTAAAAGGTGTTTATAGTTATACAATTATCAAATGTCAATTTAAATAAAAAAAAATACAACAATAAAAGATGCTAATATATTGTACAAAATGCCACAAAACTGAAACATATTGCTACTCGAAGAGATCATAGAATAAATTTTGAAATGTATTAAACTAAACTATTGTAGTCCTTGTATTTTTTGTTGATTCAAAATATTCTCAATTAATTACATTTTGGTGAAAAAAAAAAACAAAAAGTTCTAACCATAGAACATGCTTAATCAGCCAAAAAAACACAATCAACCCACCTTCCAAAATGTTGCAACTAACGTGAAAATTCCAAATTGATGTCATCAGTACAATCTCAACGAAATCCCATGAAAGTCTCAAACTTATATCAACACACTTCAAAGACAACACAAAATAAATAAACAGTAGCATTATTCAACCGAAATGGACAATAAAATACACGATGGTTGTTAATTAACAGTAGGGAAGCTCTCCTTCATAGGGTTCCCAATTATCATCGTCATCCGAGAAATCATCCCTTATCTCATTCAAATCCTCTGGCCATTCAAACGGCGGTGGTCTAGCCTTAGCCTGAGTTCGTCTGTTATGATCAACAATAAAATTACTCGATGAGTTAGAAACTTACCAGGAAATCAATTTGCAGCCCTTGTCCGAGTCTTAACTAGAATATGGGGATTGTTGATTACAAAAAACAATCCAACTATGACTTCATATTACAATTACAATTCGTTAAGAATCACACAAAAAATGTTGGGGGGGTCCTTGTAATAACTAAAAGATTAGATTAAATGGACATCCGATGATCACATTGCCTTTGTATGCATATTGCAAGGCAAATAACTTAGAACTGGAACAATCATATCGACAATTTCTAAAAAAAAGTGAATAATGAAGCATCAGATTTGTTCAAAAAGCCCAAGGTTAAGTATTCATCGAGTAGATTTTCTGGCCCAAACATATACACACATTTATATAAAGAAAAAAAAAACGACCATATGCAGAATATAGGAGTCCATTGTGCAAAGTCAAAGATCACAAACGTGCAAAGATAAACAAAAAAGGAAACTCGATTACTAAAAGAAACGCAAGCTTAATCAGCAACTGAAAGTAAGTATCACATACAATTTTTTGTAGATATAAGTGTGATAGCCTATACAGGAAACCATTTATAATGCACAAATGCTACTGTTAGACTACTTACAATAGGCAATCATCAAAAAAATGCATACTTATCCTATAAACATCGTACTTTTGTTTACATTGACATTTGAATGCGAAGTATGTACATACGTTCGAAGGGTATGGCTATCTAATGGTAGGCAACCTAACAAAAGAATAACAGTTAGAGAAAAAAAGATATTGAATTAAATGCACCTAAAGCTAAAATACCAACAAGAGAGGTAAAAAAGATCAACAAGTTCACTTTCAACCCAACAAAAAACAGTACACAACAACAAATGCCAAGAGGTAAAAACTGGATGAGAAACAAGTAAAACGGGGCGAAAAGAAATCGAGTTGACGAACCTTCGGCGGTTGCGGTTGGCGGCCTCGCGAGACTTGCGCTTCTTCTTCTCCTGGGTTGACTCGAAATACCTGCGGCGCCTCACCTCCTGGAGGACGCCAGCTCGCGCGACCTCCCTCATGAACCGTTCGACCCAGTCATCGTTCTCGTCATCGCCGACGATCACCTCGACATTGTATGGTTGTGACCTGAAGTATATGTTCGCGTTGGCGAGCGAGGGGCACACCACGCGCATGACGTCGGACGAACTGGAAACCGACGACTGGGATTCATCGGAAAGGACGAGGGGAGACCAATCGGGTTGGTCGGTCGCGGCGGCGGACACGAGGGACCGTCGAGAAATTTGCGACCGCGGGGGCGGCTGTTTCGATGGGGTGAAGAGAGAGAAAATTTTGGGAATGGATAGGGTCGCCATTGGAGACTGGATTTGGGGGATTGCGCATCTGGATAGGGTTGTGTTGGTAACAGTGTGTTTGGTTTTGGTTTCTGAAATTTAATGGGCTTTATATTTGGGCTCTTGAGTGGGCTAACCGGGCTTTGCATTAGCATAAAAGAGAAAATTTAGTAAAGGCCCATCATATAGTGAAACGTACAGTCGAACAAAACCAGATCAAAGAGCTGGTAAAATCGACTTGACTCCATAGTTGAGTCGCCGAGCGACCAAGCGGAGAACACAATTTTTTTCTGATTTTTACGTATGGTTTTGATTTGGTCTTTCGATCCAAGTTTCCATTCTTTTTCCCCAATTTAGTTTTAAATGCTAAATTTGCGTAGTTATGCTGAGCTTGTATCTGTGTGTAATAGAATTTGGGAAAATTTTATGTATACACAGCCATTCAATAATTATTGCAACATTACGAGCGGTTACAAATTTTTTTCTAACTTACCAAAACCATGGAAATTATTTGTGATAATGCAAGATTTCTGTTACCTAAAAAAATCTATCAGTATCCTTAAATTGCGTGAGTACAAATTAATGAATTTACGCTCAGTATCCTTATTACCCCAAAATTTACGCTCAGATTAATGACTTGATGAATCAGTATCTGTAAATTCATTCTGTTGCCCCAAAAAAATCGACGTATATTTTTATGTATATTTCCTGTATATTTCGAGTGTATATTTTCTGTTACAAGAATTTCGAGTGTATATTTTATGTATATTTCGAGTGTATATTATCCTCTGAGAAGTTTTTCGTCAAAAGGCATTCTGTATACATAATATATATAGAAAACATATAAGTTCGGAAAATATACGAAATAACCTTGTAATCTTATCTTTTCGTAATTCTTTTTGTTTCAACATATACATGTGATATATCCATTGGTTATAAACATAACATATACTAAGTAACAATATATTTGTCGGGAACATATACAGAAGATATACTAATTGTATATAATGTATATATCCCGGACAGAAACATATACTGAAAATATAATGTATATATCCCAGACAGAAACATATACTGAAAACATATTGTATATACCCGCAACATATACTCCCGTCAACCGCAGCCATGACCAGATCCCAGACAGGGACATATACTGATATACCATAGGTTTTTTCAATGAATTTACTCTTTCATCTATCATCACCTCATTCACCTCTTCCTTTAAATTCCCCTCCGGTAGCAAATATGGTTTAGAACAGTGATTGTTCGCATGATTATCGTCATCGATTTTATTCACCTTGTTATCTCCATGAATTGAAATAGTATTAGCACGATTCGGGACATCGATATTGGCCTCAGCGGAGGACGAACAGAGGCGGGCAAGCGCCATGTCGCGACGGTGGAGGAGAATCTTAAAGTCTTTGAGCAAAAGCTTTGGGTTCGGTGGCGGCCATCGACGAGGTACATCGGACGCTTTGCGGAATCGCCACAATTCTTTATTCTCAGATTCCTTTTCTTCTGTTCTTTTGTGATGAGGAGTGAGATAACGAGAAAAGAAAAGGGTGGGAGGGAGAGAGAAGAAGAAGAAGAGATAAGGAGAAAGAGATACGTGATTTAGGGGAGAGAAATTGATTTCTTAAAAAATTGTTTTTTGGTATATCTACAAATAATAACATGATTTTAGGTAGGAATGCTAATATTTATAACATATATGTATTTGTGTAATAAAAACTGAAATTAATGATGTAGGAAGTAATTTTCTCTTCTTTTTTTTTTTGTTCTTCGGGTATTATTGGACTTTGAGATGGGCCGCTCATCAAACAAACAGAGCAAGTCATAAATATGACCCACCAGCCCAGCTACGCGCGCGCTTATACTCGTAACGCCGAGTAATTTTGAATTTCGTCACATTTCCCCACACAGCATCCAGCAAAAATGGCGGGAAAGGCAGGCGCCTCAGCCTCAGCCGCGGCGTCGGAGCGCAAAATCAACGGCGAATCGGATGGTTGCTGGAGAAAGGAACTCGACCAGAACCTCAAGCGGCTCCAGTCGCTGTTGTTCGGCGCGGACGCGGCTCTAGAGAAGGGGGATTTTAGCTCGGCTCAGATGCTATCTCTCGGTCTTATCGGCTTCCTCGACTCGCGGTCCCAATCCGCGGAGGACGAGGCCTTCATTCGCCCCATCCGGAGTGAAGCCGTTTCTAAGCTGAGCTTGTCTCGGCGTGCCTTGATTCCTGAGTCCGATCGGTAACAGCGCATCTCTTTCCCTGTTAACCTGAACTTGGATAACTTGTGGATTTTGTTCTTTTAGCTATATGTGAAGAAATAAGTGATATGATTTTGTTTGCAGCTGAGCTCGTGTAATAGAACACCGAACAAGGATGGTAAATTACAGTATTCGTCATTTCGTGATGTAGAATTGGAATTGTATTATAGTACTGGATTCAGAGATTTTCAGAATTCGCAGGTTTAAGTTCCTCTGTGAATTAGTTTGTCTTTGTTCTCTGTATCTGTGTGCGCCATTTGGATCCCTAGGAGTAGTGGATGAAAATATGCAAAATGTGAAATGCAATAATGTCTGTGAACTGATTCCTTACAATTTTGCTGTTTGGCCCAAAAGTATTTGGGTCGTGATTATAGGAATACTAGTCTTATTGAATTGGCATGTGATTCATAAAAGCTTTTTATTAATATTTACCATATGAAGGGAAATTTTGATTTATCCCTAATATTGGTATGAAATGCATTTATCTTTTTCAATGACATCTGTGATTTGAATTTCTAAAACCATAGACAAGCTTTCGTGCAAGCTGGCAAAGTTCCGAGCTGCATATTCAAAAAGAGAGGTGACATGGATATACAGAAGGCTAAGGAGTCCAAGTACTTTCGTACTCTATTTCAGCAGTCCTCTGAACAAACCACAGGTGGACCGGTAGGTTGCACCATAACATGGCATATATCCTCATCAGACATCAGTCAAATGTTTTGTCTGCTTTTTTAAAATGGTTCCAAGTGATTGGATGCTGTCAATTAAATGTAATTTTGACCATTTTTGTCAGAGACAACTTGACAAGCAGGACAATTCAAAGACCTCAAAGATTCTCGTACAGTCAAAACTGACATCCTTGTATGGAAATGGTTCTAAAGAAAATAGCAAAAGTTTCACGAAAGATAAGATCTCGGAGGATTGTGTCGTTACTGGAAGAGGTCCCTCAAGTTGCAATGATCCCAATAATCATTCCGTGCTTACCACTTGTAAACCTGAGGAGGATGACGAGGTCCGTGTGGTTAATTTTAAAACAAGACGGATACATAGAAATTCTTTCAGCCCTAGAAATGAAATCATAAAATCCCCATCTCTGATTGAAGAAGTTGATGTGGATGCTTCCACTAATGGGTTTGTTACTGCTAGAGCAAAACTGGTATGAACTTATTCTCGAATGAGCTAAAATATCACACAAGTAACAATATCGATATCAGTTCAGCTTAAGTGTTCGAATATCTTCTGAAGATTTATATGTTGGTTTCTAATGACAGGAAATGGAGGCCAGACAAAAGCGAGGCTTAGCTGGGTCGCCAAGTGCATCCGTCTCACCACAAAGTGATGCGGGAACTAACAAGAGTTATGGGGCCAAATCTTATGGTTTTTCTCGTCGTGGAGTGAGAGGTAATTTTGTTCCTCCAATAAGATCCAATGGAAGTAACATGGGCAATGTGGTTTCGCGAACTGGGGGGAAGGGAGACGATGCACCGGATGACTCAACTAGAAGATGGTATATTTCATTGGACATCGGATTATCTTCTGTAGCTCACTTTTTCAACTTATTAAAGAATACGTTAATCTCAGTTCTCTTCTCTACTTTCCCTCTCCATGTACGCCAAATAAGGTTTAAAGTTCTGTATGTGATGTAGTTTGGAGTTACTCTGTGGCCCTGATGGTGAGCTTCCTGAAAAGTTGAGAAATTTAGAGCCACGGCTTATTGAGCATGTCAGCAACGAGATAATGGATAGGGATCCGAATGTCCGGTGGGAGGACATTGGTGCGTCATTTCTACAGTGCTCCCAATATTCTAGAGAGAATTTATATCCACTAAGAGGCCTGACTTTTTTTCTGTACTTTCTGGGGATGTGTGCATATGTGAACTGTTAGCTGGACTGGAGCATGCAAAAAAATGTGTGACTGAGATGGTAATATGGCCTTTGCTGCGTCCAGACATATTCAAAGGTTGCCGTTCGCCAGGCCGTGGTCTTCTCCTTTTTGGACCTCCTGTATGTACTAATACACGTATAAAGATGTCGTTAAATAAATGTTGGATGCAATTATCTTTTCCCTTTAATTATGCCTGTTCCCTTGCTGCAGGGAACTGGTAAAACAATGATAGGAAAAGCTATAGCTGGAGAGGCCAAAGCAACTTTTTTCTATATATCAGCCAGTTCTTTGACAAGTAAATGGGTACGCGTTTCTACTATGAGTTTCTGTTAGGGATCAGAAGCAATGAATTGCATCGGCGGTTTTTAGTTCTGAAATTGATCTCAAATACCATTGTTGATCTTGTATTATTATTATTCAATTTTTAATAGAATTCTAGTGAACTGATGTATGATGTATGCTTGAAGCTTATGCTCAGATTTATCTACAACCATAGCAATTTCGACAGATAATAAGCATGATAGTGGAAATTCTCTCATACATATGTCCACCGTCCATGTTCATGCATGTCATGTTAAATTGCAGCTGCCCAAAATGCAAGGGCCTAATGTTTTTTTAATTTGGTCCAATCACTTTGAAATCATGATTGCAGATAGGTGAGGGTGAAAAGCTTGTTAGAGCGCTTTTTGGTGTAGCTAGCTGTCGCCAGCCTGCTGTGATATTTGTGGATGAAATAGACTCTCTTCTGTCTCAGGTAAAATAGGCAGTAGCTTGTTCTATCAAGTTTCTCAATTGGGTACATGTCTCCCTATTTTGTTACCCACACCCTCTTTTACCCTTCATTGAAAACAAAAAATGACATATTTGTACACAGTTTCTAATTCTTATCAATCCTTGTACTTTTGTAAAAGAAATATTTGTTCTTAGCATGCCCATCTTTTGGTTTCAGAATTCAGAATATCTCTCACGTTTGGTTACAGCAGTACACTTATAAAAACCGTAACTACCACTATTCAATTCACCCATGTTCATCTATCTGTTATTGCTACAATACCCTTATTCCCCGGATAGCTTACTTTATTTACTAGTTCCTCTTGGAAAAGCGAAATACAAAATGATCGATTTAATGTTATTGCAGCGGAAATCGGAAGGTGAACATGAATCCAGTCGACGATTGAAGACACAATTCCTCATTGAAATGGAAGGCTTTGACAGCGGGGCAGAGCAGATTCTGCTAATAGGTTCTCGTTCAACTGTTTATTGCAAATTTCTCGAGTTAAACACGTTGTAGCATTTATCTATTTTTCTTTTATCTGTCGAGAGTTTGCATTACTTTCTCATGATCCGAGTAAAATCAGTGCAATAGCAACAATAAGGAATTCGATTTTGCACACGACGCCAAACAAATTTATATTTTTGCAAAGTGTATTATGTTGTGGTTGATTGTTTGAATTTCAATATACCTTAGTGTCTCCTTGGAACAGGTGCAACTAATAGGCCTCAAGAACTTGACGAGGCCGCAAGGCGACGACTCACAAAGAGACTGTACATTCCACTTCCCACTTCAGGTCCAAATTAGAATACAACAACAACAACAACATACCCAGCAATTTATAAATAATTTTAAAGCGAATGAAAAATCTGTTTGCTTTATCCTCAGCAATTTATATTTATATGTGCAGAAGCAAGAGCCTGGATCATAAAGAACCTGCTGGCGAAAGATGGATTGTTTAGCCTTTCGAATGAAGATACCGATACTATATGCAAATTAACTGAAGGTAAGTTAGCTTCCCTAAAAGAATTAATCACTGAATAACCATTTTCCCCTGCAATTTAAACTCTTAGATTTTGCTTGTTCTTAGGATATTCGGGATCTGACATGAAGAATTTGGTGAAAGATGCTTCAATGGGCCCACTGAGAGAGGCTCTGAAACAGGGCATTGAGATAACTAAGCTGCAGAAGGAGGATATGAGGGCAGTAAATCTTCAGGTAACTGAGATATGTACTGCAGCAGTAAATTCTTGATCTCATAGCAGTTTTTTTTTTTCCTTAGTTGGATAATTTTGGTCTTTAGGACTTTGAGCTAGCATTACAAGAGGTGAGACCTTCTGTCTCACTCAGTGAACTCGGTACGTACGAAAAGTGGAACGAGCAATTTGGGAGCTTATCGTTGTAAAAATCACTCAACTCAGTCGGATGTTGATCGAGTTGTGCAGTTAGTTTTCCTCACCTGTGTGAGGTTAGCCATTGAGGATTTGTTTAACTTTTTGGCCTTTGTATTTTCTGCCTGCTTTGTTATGTGAGGTTAGCACGTTGCAAATTGAGTTTTTGCTTTGTTTTTAATACTCTTCGGCATTTGTATTTTGTGCGGCTTGTTATGTGAATGAGCGTTCAACTTCAACCTTTAGATTCCATTGGAGAACTTAATTTTAACTTGTAAAGATTTTGGTTTTTTTAACTAAATACACTGCGAATTTGCTCATGAAGTTTTAACTGTTGGATCACACACAGTGATAAAACCCCTCTAGGCAGTATTTTCAAATTTGTCCCTTATCACATAATTGTGAGTTGTGACGTGTATTTACTATTTAATTACAATTTACACATCCCAAACCCCCTTAAGATTATTCTAATCTATATATATAATTGCTGGCTAATAGCATTTAATAAAACATTTAATAAAAATTATTTCGATTTCCCTCTAAAAACCGTTACAAACTTTATCATTTATATCTCTCTCTATATTTAATTACCAACAATAAATTTAACAATATTAATTATTGTTTACCATCTTTTTATATTACAATCTTCTATTATTATTATTAATCCATCATATTTAATTAATGCTAAAATATTTCATTGCACTTTTTTATGGTTAATTAAAACAAAACCGTTACATTTTATATTAATGGAGTAATAATTATATAATTTTATTATATCATATAATAGTTGTTATTAAAACTAATAACTATAGTTTACACTAAATGATATATGAAAATTACATAAACATAAAAAAAATATTGTAAACTTTTTTCTAAAGTTATTTATTTTAAAATTAATATTATATATTTTTTTTAATCTTATTTAGCGATTGTATTTTTAAATAAGTTAATTTATTTTAATGTTATGTTAAAATTCCTTAAAATCGCATAATCAAATGTTATAATAAATTTAATATTTTTAAGCTAATAAATTGGCGATCTCTCAAAATTATATTATTTATTATATTTTATGTAATTAATATAGTAGTTCATATGCAATCAAATAGTTATGTACTATTTATTTTAACCAATGATCAATTTAAAATATAATATCATTATCTTATTTATATTTTTATTATTATATGTATAAATATAACTTATAATACTCTATGTTTAAAATATAATATTATTGTGTAACTTATAATTTTAACGGTTTTGCTATGAAGCCAACAGTTGGCTCCATAGTGGAGCCAACCGTCTATATACAACAAATAAACTTACCATATTAATAAAATTATATTAGTTTATTTAAGTAATCAGAGAATATAGTAGGTTTATTTGTTATATATAGAAGGTTGGTTTGGTTTCATAGCAAAACCGATAATTTTAATACTAGCATAAATATAATTTATAATATTCTATTTACATTGTGCAAATGCACAGTCGAATAATAGTTATAATTAAACTGGCTCTAACCTTGTAATAAATTCTGACCTTAGATAATATAAAATGTTAAATTTACAAATTATTCAAAATCATGTAAAATCATGCGGGGCTTGACAAAGGCCTGAAATTTCTCCGTACCACATCCAATAAAAACCAAGTACGCCTTACTGGGCCTAATACATATTATTTGGGTTTTGGGACCTTTTCCCCTTTCATTCAACAGCATACCCCAATGCGAAGACCTTTTATCGTAACATCCCCTCTGGCCCACCGCCGTAACATAACCGCATTATCTCACCGGCAACCACCATGGCCGCCGCCTTCACCGCCACCGGCGAAAAACGCCTCACTCTCTCTCATGGCGGACCGATGTAAATCAATGGACCAGATCAAGCAAATCCACGCCCAAATGATCGTCACCGCCCGCATCCACGACGTCTACGCCGCCAGCCGCTTGCTCAACTTCTGCGCCCTCTCCCCTTCCGGCGACCTCCGCCACGCCCTAAGGCTCCTCCACAGTGTCCCTGCGCCGAATCTCTTCATGTGGAACACCGTGATCAGGGCGCACGCCGCCAGCTCGAACCCCGTCGCCGGTTTTCTTCTCTACGCCCAAATGCGGCGGCGTGGCGGCGGCGTCTCGCCGGGGACCCACACGTTCCCGTTCGTCCTGAAGGCGTGCTCGCACATACAGTCGGTCACGTGCTGCGCGCAGGTGCACGTGCACGTGCTGAAGTTTGGGCTGGGCTGGAACTTGCACGTGGCCAATGGGCTCGTGAGGTGCTACTCTATATCGAGCGGGCTTCCAGAGGCCCGCAAGGTGTTTGATGAAATGTGCGAGAGAAACTTGAGTATCTGGACCACGATGATTTGCGGCTATGCGCAGAATAACCAATCCAAGGAGTCGATTTTGCTGTTCGAAGAAATGATTTCAAACGGTTTCGAGCCGAACGGTGTTGTTTTTTCCTCCGTCTTGTCGGCTTGTGCTCAATCGGCTTGCTTGGATTTGGGGGAGCAAATTCACGCGTATATGAAGGAGAAAGGGATGGAATTAGGCGTGATTCTAGGGACTGCAGTGGTGAACATGTACGCGAAAAACGGAGCTTTGGAAAAAGCAAAGATTTGTTTCGATGAAATGAGGGAGAAAAACGTCGCGACTTGGAATTCTTTGATTTGGGGGCTTGCCGTTCACGGCCATGCGTTGGAGGCTATCCGTTATTTCGAAATGTTGGAGAAGGGAAAAATGAAGCCGAACGAGATCACCCTTCTCGGAGTTTTATCCGCATGTTGCCATGCGGGATTGTTCGATTATGGTAGTGATGTTTTTTACTCGATGAGAAGGGTTTATGGGGTTGAGCCGAATATAAAGCATTACGGGTGCATGGTGGATTTGGTCGGCCGAGTGGGGAGGATTTTGGAGGCCGAGGATTTGATAAGGAAAATGCCTTGGAAGCCGGATGTGGTGATTTGGGGGGCTTTGTTGAGTGCTTGCAAGGAGTTTGGAGAAATCGAAGTTGCCGAGCGTGTGGTTGAGGAGATTCTTGATTTGGATCCTGAGAATCACGGGGTTTATGTTGTCTTGTCGAATATGTATGCAGAGGCCGGAAGGTGGGAGGATGTAATGGAAAGGAGAAAGGGAATGAGAGAAGGGAGTTTGAGAAAAAAAGCAGGATGGAGTCTCGTTGGAGGAGATACTTGATGGAATTGAATACAAAATGACCTTTTTATTTTTTTATGAGAATTTTGCTTGGCAGGTTGAAAAATGAAAAACTAGCCAGGACGAGATTTTGTTGTAAAATGTGTGTGTGTTCGTATCTTATTTGGTTGGAAATGATAAGTTCAGACCTCAAGGGAGGGTGTTTGTAATATGGAAGAAAACTCGGGATGTTTTGTAATTAAGTCATTTCTTTTTGGTGACTTTGTGTTATCAACTTATCATTCACTAAACCTGCAAATTGTGAAATCTATTGCCACAACACTTAGCGAAGCATCAGCTTACCCAGTTTTGTTTGTGTGTGTGTGTGTGTGTGTGTGAGAGAGAGAGAGAGAGAGACTGAAACCATTTTGTACCAACATAGAAGAACATTCTGTGATTACCAGATAAAAGGCTCTCATCGCTCAAGCCTCCATTATACATGCGAAGTTGTCCATAGAGATGAATAAAAAACTCACAAGGGGTATTTTAAAAGTGAAATCTGTTTGCATCTTCACATAATACCATTACATCATCATTTATTAGGCCACTGGACAAAAAGCCAATCCCAACAACAACTTATGGCACACAACCAGATTTTTCCGCCCAACAAAGCTTGCGCTACTCGGAAAATCTCTGAAAAGCAATACAATCGACTTCTCCAGATGCACACACTCCACTTACAATTTTTAAAGTTTAAGCTGGGCTGAGATTAATGTCAGCAACGGAATCCAGCAAACCAGCTTGTTCGCAAAGATCAAGCAAGTCTAAAGTCTGCAATGACAGATCGAGTTAATAAAATACCAAGGGGGTTTTTGAAAGAAAATTAAGTAAAAAACAAAGCATCTAATGATGGTGGTAAAAGCTAAAGGTTAATCAGTTGGTAATAAAGTTGTGAAAGTCGAAGCAAAAACAGAATCAGAAATTACTTTAAAAAAAAAACAAAAAAGATATGGAACACATGCACCTGAAGGGGATTCAAACGTTTGTGATTCATATGTGGATTACCACTTGGATACTATACTTAATTTTCAGCCAAAAGCTGGAAACCACTTGGATACTTTTTTTTTTCTTTTCCCAAATATAGTGCGAGCTACTCCATAAGAATACTTGAAAGGTAAGTTCTTATGACGTTATGATTCGAACGAACCTCGGGAATTGAGAGTTCAAGGCGGAATTTAGGGCCATCATAGTGATGCAAGACAGGCCTAAATGCATCCTCTTCCAGAGCCTTGCAGAGTTTCCTAACACGAATTCTTACCTAGTTGGGATCAACATTAAACTGAAGATCAACAATCGAGATTTGTCGGAAAATAATTCAAAGTTGTAAGAGCATAATATTATTAAAACTCATGTTAGAAGGTAAAGTAACATCATTTTACCTGGGCAGGGAACCTCGATTCACCTTTGCACTTTTTGTCTTCCCAAGCAGTAGGATCAATGTTGGAGCCTCCAAATGTTGTTGCCTGTCAATCATAGAGTTTGCAGAGCAACTTAAGTAGTGAGCAAATGTTGTTGCCTGTCAATCATAGAGTTTGCAGAGCAACTTAAGTAGTGAGCAAAAAGAACACTTTGTCGAGACAAAGTGTCGAGACAAAGATCATCATATGATTAAGAACAATGAACAAGTCATAGCTGAAGTATGGCATCTCTTATATAAATAAAATTTAAGGAGAGCCTTTCAGCTTTAACACGAGAAGAAGTGTATTTTCTCATTTTGTCAGACAAACATAGCATATGGGCCAGTCACTGTAAAACTGCTGCATATAACCATGTCTGCAGACACAGTAATTGTACCAAATTTAACCAAAAAGATTAAAAATAAAACTGGCATGATACCTCAAAGATGCCATGCAACTGGTGAGTGGTATAGTTGTACAAAAACAGAGGCAAACCAGGTGTTATTGCCCTCACTGAATCTCTATATCTTGGGGGCAAACCTACAAAATGATGGTTAAGCATCAATAATTGCAGAAGTATACACATTACACATATTTAGGCAGAACAGAAGCACAATAAATTTTATTATTTACGGTTATCAGATTTGACCCACCCACACAAGCTAACAAAAGTAGCTGGATATAAATGGACACCAATGAGCAAAATGGCTTGGACTAAAGCAATTACAATACCAGGAATAGTAAAAAGTAAAAACAGCCTAATGGAGAAGAGAAGAAAGATTTATAATTACCAAACAGTTGTCTCTTCAAATCTTCTTGCATTGTATCATTGTTGCACACAAAGATATATCCACCGAGAACTTCATTCCTTGGGAGTGTCTCGGCCGCTGGTAAGGTCTTAAACCTTTTATCAATGGCATTATTTGCATTTGAGATCTCGTCCTTGTTAGTTTTGGTATTGACAACATTAATCTCCTTCATGATGTTGATATTGTTATATTTGCTTCCGGGAATATTTCCTGGGGTACTAACATTTGGGTTCTGATAAGCAGAGTTCATATTATAAAGACCATTCGCGAACGAACTTTTGGTCACATTTTCGTTGAACCTTGGCCCCAAGTTTAACATGCCGAAGTTAAAATTTTCAAATCTGTTGTCTTCTTGAAATACAAAATTATCCTTGGGCCTAAATTCAGCAGAACCCTTTGAGAGATCTACATTGATTTTGCGCTCGGGCTTTGACCTGGTCTGCTCAGCCAATTTTGAAGCAGCCACAGACCATTTTTGATCCTCTGAGACTCTTGACTGTCCTCGAAGCTCATCGCCTAACTGCCAAAAGCTGTTAAGACTCTCCATGATGGAAACCTTAGAACAAGTAACCATGGTATTGTTAGATATTTTGTTAAAGAAAGGAAAGAAAAACAATTTAACCAGCATCATGCAAATTACAGAATGATTCTTCATAGATAATGAAGTGCAAAAGATATTACCATTGAACAAATAAAGGATATAACACAAGATAATTGTTAATTCTTAGTTTAAAGGTACAGCTACAGGCACAACAGGAAAATTTAACGAACATAAATTTTCACATCATGCAAAAAGGAAGTTAAACTACACATCAATACAGTTTCATAAAATGGCGGCAGTGAAGTCTGCAAGACTGCAACAGATTTTGAACACTTCCATCTCCCAAAATGATGAAGTGGGGCAAAAATTACCCTATCTTGATATATATTTATATATTGTAATTACCCTCCTAGTAATAAGAAATTCCAGACTTGTTAAGAAATTCAACCACAAATCACTGCTACGACAGTGTAATAAGTATATCGTATGTTTTCCACTTGTTCAACGTCAATAAAACCCAATATAAAACATTATATAGTTTATACTCCCGGTTCACACTTGGCAGAGGCAGACAGCATCTAACAAGCATACAACTACTCTTAATATGCTATAACCTTCCATGAAAATCACTGCATACTGGAAAGATTTTAATGAAGTTTACCAGACAATTTGGGAAACTCCACTAATGCAATAAGTTAACCAAAACAATAACTTCACATCACATTCTTCCCTAAAAACCAGCTAACTTGGGTGATAGCACTTCAGAAATAATTTAAAACAATGAACACTGAAAAGTATCTCGACATCAACTATCACCCAAAAGGCAAAATTCAAATATTTTCGAAATATTTGAAATTCAAGAGCAGCTTCTTCGGACTATCACTGAAGCAAAACAAGCTACAGTGAAATTCGAGCTCGTGCAGCTAGAATGCCGATTATTAACATCATATTAAGCTACGAGACAGCAAATTCGTCACCAAACACATTAAAAATTAACATTTTTTCCACCGAACATTCACGAATCAATCGATTATCAGTGAATGACCTAACAATTCAAAAACATTTAACTTAATTGGCCTCAGAAAACTAGGATTTTCAAATGAACATTTTTTTCTAGGATGGGAGTGAGGAAATGGAGTACTCACCTTTACCTCCTCCGCCGCTGGTGACCGGAAGATGCAGCAGAGGACGATGATAGGCAGATTTATCTCGATTTACATTATTTTTAATTCAACGGATGCCCTTCACCTTTTGCTTTATTTACCACATTACCACAAAGTTTCTTATTTATTTTATTATTGTTTGAGAAAACGACAACGTAACTTATCGTGACCTTACCTACGAATGTGAGCCCACAACAGCTTTCCACCGTCTAGCTAATTTGTGCTCAAATTTAAAATTTGAACTTCTTCCCTTTTTCCTTTTTTATTTATTCGTTTTTTTTCTTTTCTTTTAGATAAGCTTATTTCCAAATAGACCACAACATTTACTTGAATTGCAAATTAAATACAACTTTTAAATTTTGGTATTTTANAAAAAAAAAACGAAAACACACTTTTTCTCGACTTATCACTTTAAATTACGTAATATAAAAGTTTGATCAAACTAAATTATGTTTTTCAGAGTTCCTTAAGCAATTGAGATATTAAACTCAAATTTAAAATGTAGTTAGAAATCTCCACGGTGTTCCTGCCCAAAATCCTAAAATTTACTATCTCAACCTTTATATCTATTGCCTCAAATTATAGAATTTGAGACCTCCATGAACAGTATAAAAAGTGCCGCTGCTTCTTCCCCGATCCACAATCGTTATGTATGATTGTTGAAATTTTAGTTGTTATCCGACGTAAGAATTTGAAGTTTTTATTACTTTAAGTGTTATGCATGTTGACGTCCGTTTTCGTCATGCTACTATCGAAGCGATGGTGTGTTAATTTATAGTGTAACTGGTGTCTTAAGATGGAAATAAAAATAAAGACTAGAACATAAATAGAAGGTCGACAATTTGGTGCGTCTGCATCGGGGAGTTTATTAATGGATGGATTTGGGCAACTCCCAACTCTCTTTTTTACAAAGATTTATTGAAAAATGTTTCAAACTGAGAAAGATGTATTGAAAGCCTATTTAGTTATTTTTTTAGAGATATGTGGGTTCTCTGTCAACTTTTTTATGGGATTACAACCATCTATTTGTCGATGCCCTTCTCAACACCGAGGGTTTGTTATTTATAGAAGGGGAAGACCAATATAATATGTTATTTATGGAACAGGTGGCAGTCTCTTAGAGGTTGTCGACATGCATGACAATGCATGTCCTTGCAAATTGCTTGCCTTTCTATTTGGCAATGCGAACTGGTTTTAGACGGCAACCCTTTCAACACCAATATTTTCTATTTAGTCGAGATAGTCCTGCATTTGGCCGATGTAGGGAGACAGTTTCGGTGGTTTGACCTGCCTACAGTCCTGGAATGAGATCGGCGCAAAAGGGAGAGATCGACTTAAAAGCTGGAGACGTGCATTTGATTTCTGGGTCCTTGCAGCGGTATAAACTTATTGTCCATGTCATCATTGCTTAGCAAGCAACCCAGATCGGATTTTGAGTGCAACAATTTATTCGAAACAACATCAAATGACACATCATTCATCGATTTTCGAAAGTTAGGTTCATGNTACCTTGACTTTACTTAAATTTAAAAATTTATTAAAGTGTTTAGGGCTTGATTGTTTACAAATTAATTTACTCACATTTATTTCATACTCAAATTTAACTCAACCTAGTATCTTTAATATTATTCATATAATTAAATAATACAAACCAATTATTCTTACACATCAACTTTCATTCACTATTCATCCACCCACATAATTTTAACTACCTATCATCTACAATCATTTATCTCTTACTTTTACATCAAATCAATCTTAGTTATTTTATTTTAAATATTATTTTAATACATTCTTAAAATTCCACTAACAACTAACCATACTATTTTTTTTTTTAAATTTAACGATGATTAACTAAAATAACTCATTTTAAATAAATTATTAGATAAACAATCAAGCCCTTAACAATTTTGCCTATTTAATCCTCTAACCATTCCCTAATGAGTTATAGATCCACTTATCATAAAGTGAGCCTCGGTCAAAGTTGGGCTTTGTAGACAACTCTTAAACCCAAATACACAATTATAAATCAACTGACGATTCCAAAGCCCAAATTTTGTCTTCGTGAACTAGTATAAATTGAGAAAAACTCCTAGTTGAAGAAAAAATTAAACCTCGGTGGACATCTTGTCCCTGAAACAAAAACCTAAATCAACCATTCGAGCTGAAAACCAGTCGACAGAAAAATGGATATGTCGATCGAGATCGAACAACGTATTTCTTTCTTTAAGCTTGCTCGAAGTACAGCAGAAGATACATATGCTAAAAACCCTCTGGACGCCGATGTTCGTACTGGCTTTTAACCAACGACTGCGTTTCTTTTTTCCTCTACCTTGTGTTCGATTTGATTATAGTTTATTAATCTTTGTTTTGCGGGTTGCTGCAGAATTTAACAAGATGGGGCAGCGTGTTGCTCGAGTTATCACAGTTTGAAAATGAACCTCCTGTCTCGAAGAAGATGGTTCAAGGCAAGTTAACTATTCTGCCTGTTGAATTTTCTAGTTTCATGCTGCTTTTT